AAGCAGTGTACATTGTACTGCACTACACCAAACACATATTCATTTCAGAGATCGTCATCGCGCAAAGTTAAAAGAATAATCGCTGGAGTTTAAACCGTCTCCGCTGTCAATCGCGCCCTCCTGCCCGCCCGCCCGTTGGTCACCCGTCGCCCGCTCATCGGCCGCCGCTGTTGGCGCGTTTATTTGCACCCACCTCGCGCGTCGCGGCGAGTGATTCGTTCGTTCTTCCTAATTTATACTGGTGGCGCGGCTGACGGTTTTATTTATTGACCGGAGACAAACGTTTCAGTTTTTAACGCATCGATTCCAAACGTTCACTCGATGTCACTTTTTTAAAATGGTGTCAGTGCGCGGGCGGATGTTGGGTGCGTGAATGCGCGAGAGTAGAGGAGGTAAAATGACAAACGAATTGTTGCACTCAGAGATGCATGTATTATTAATATTACTTATTAATAATACAAACATAATAATTCGTATATTGCATAAACTACTCAATAGTTAAGTGCACAGATTTTTATGAGAGTAATTATTCACAGAATTCTGGCTTTACACATAACAATTTATTTGTTTATCTGACAATCTTCATTCAGGTTATGCATACATATTCTGTAAGGATTAAATACTTTCACAAGAAAAGAATTAGATAGACACACGTGTATAATATTAATATTCTATTGTTGTCAATACTGCCATTTGCAATTCTCATGTAGAGCATTGTTAAATAAACCGACGTGAATACGCAACATAATGAAATTCAACTGCAATTTAACTGATAGTCGCGAAAACAAAACTACTGATATCGCCGACACCGTTACGTTGAACCCGGAGTTGAACGCTTAGTATATTCATGCTGGTAATCCCGTTTACCACAGATTCCATTTTCCAATCGCAGCGGCGCACCCTCCGCCGTTTACGAGCACAGATAGCTTTCAACGAGCTGGCGACGCGTCGGCGCGGCGTCGTTTCCAGCAGAGTGACATGGCGGCTCCCTCAACGAGCTTCCCGATCCGGGCGAATCGAGCGGGCGTCGGGCGCGCGTTGAAACAGCGATGGCGCCGCGCCGCGCCGCGCCGATCGCGTTTAAAAACATCGCCCGCCCGCGGCGCGGGGCGGCGCCGAGTCCAGCCGGCCAGGCGCGATTGACGTCCGAATTACGGCCTTATTAGCAGTCGCCAAACACGCTGACATCAATATCGCCCGGCGCCCGGTCGGCGGGTGGGGTAGCGCGGCGCCGCGCCGCCATTGACCTGCCCCGTTCGCATGGCGGCGGCGGCGGCGGTTGAGGCGGCTGCGTCGCGCCTCGGCGCCCAGGGACGTGCTCCGCCTGCCGCGCCGCGCCGCGCAGCCCCTGCTCAGACGGCAGGCAGTGCGGTTAACGGTGTGGGAGAAGAAAAACATTTGTTTTTTGAGTGAAACGTTTCCGTAAAAAACGAAAAGGGGAATGATAGCTAATTTCTTTTATTGATTGTGCAGAATAAAGGTTTTTACTTGGGAATTAAACTTTTGCATTGAATTGAATCGTTTAATCTCATCTGGTAAAGTGTTGTCAAATAAAGTACATGTATTATATGTGCATTTTTGCTGCGAGCTGTTGATACTGTTACCTGATGATTTTGATTACTACGTAGAGTGTTGTAGTTACAGAAAACGGCGTTAGCTGGAAATATATTCCAGCCCTTAAGTAAATGGTTTTGACAAAAACCACTGATTTCTATATGAAAAGACCAGGTAATGATAAAATACCTAGATCAATAAAGAGAGGCTTACAAGGATCACGTGGGTGGGATTTGCTTATTACTCGTACAATTCTTTTTTGTAATATAAAAGTCTGGGAGCTATAAGATGTATTTCTCCAGAATATTATGTCATATCTCAGGGAAATTAACATTAGCGAAATATACACAACGAACAATATGAAGGCTGACTGAATTTGAAAGAATACTCAAAGCGTAGCATAATGAACTTAATTTAGTGTTCAATTCATTTAAATGGACGTTCCATTTAAGATTTGACTGAAATGAAAGACCTAAAAATGTTGTTACCTTAACATCAGTCAATGGCACACCGTTCAGTTTCAATAGAGTCCACAGCTGTTTATTCGAAATAGAAAACTGCATTTAAACATTTTTCTTTCATTTACTATTAGTTCGTTATTACGGAACCAATTTGAAATATCTGCTATTGTACTATTTACGGTTTCATTATTGCCAAGAATATTCGTATCATTCGCAAAGAGAACCGTTCTTCCATTTCTAATCGTCGAGGGCATATCGTTTGCGTATAGTGGGAAGAGAACAGAGCGTAAAATTGATCCCTGCCAGACTCCACATGCAATTAGCAAAGAATCAGAAAGGTGGGTACACAATGTTTCATTATTCCAGTAAGGTATTTCTACTCCTTTGTCTACTACTTTGAGATCGTTGTTTAACGTACGAACGTATCCAATCTAGAGCAATACCACGACTTCTAAACGAAGGTAATTTTGAGAGTAAAATGTTATGATCAATGACGTCAAAAGCTTTTGAAAAGTGTAAAAATTTTCCAATATGTACTTCGTTTTGTTCCATGTGTGAGGCGACATCTTTAAGAAAAGAAAATATCGCTGTTTCCGTAGATTTTAATTTTCGAAACCCATGTTGGCAATATGAAAATGCGTGTTGTTTACTATGAAAGTTTTCCATTCGTACGTAAAAAAATATCTCTAATATTTTTGAAAAAAACGACAAAAGAAAAATTGGCCGATAATTTTGAATTTCATTTTTGTTGCCTCTTTTGAAAAGCGGCTGAATCTTAGCTGTTTTAAAAATATCTGGAAAAATTCCTTTGCAAAAGGATACATTAAATATGTGAGTTAACGGGTGTATAATGGCGGGCGCGCAAGTCTTTAACAAACAATCTGGAAATTCATCTAATATTCATTTCGAATATTCATTTTTTAGTCCACCGATTATTTGGAGAATTTCATAGGAAGAAGTTTCGGAAACGAACATCGTGTCTAAAATTTATTGGGAAACGTCTGATGCTGAAATTTGTGGCTGATGACTCTTAGTGAGATCGGCAGCAATTCTTCAAAAGTATTGGTTAGAGACTAGCCATTGTTGCCCTGTCGTTCACATTTCTATCGTTATCCTTTAAAACGACATTCTCTACAACTTTTCTAGTTTCTTTGGTGCAATCTTTTTCTAGTTGATTTGGTCCAATTTTTTACTCTATTACACATTGCTTTTGTTTTATTATTGATATTTATCATGTTTCATGATTTCAGTATTTTGTACGAGTAGTTTCATTAAAGAATAAAATAAATAATTCATAGAAGTTGCTTTTCGCAACTCAAACTGAGATGCAGCTACAGAATTACCTTTGTTTTCGTGATATTTTATATTCACATTGTGAGAAGTACGAAGAAAATCTTTGTGAGTAATGTAAGGAGTTGAATGTGTCACTGGAGTATTCGGAGCAAATCACAGATAAGTCACGAAATCCTATCGTAATATCTCTTTCAAAATGTCTGTTTGACTTGACAATTTTAACTGCCCATTCGCATGAGCACGTTTGATGCACGAACTGTGAATATAGTCAACTGTTAAAAGCCGCTACAACCATTAAATTCTCTGTTAATTAAAATGGATTACTTTTATTGGTTCAAATACAATTTTAATTAAGTTTTATGTCCTAAAATATTTTTAATAGCTTTCTTCTTCTTCTTTGGTCCTATCTTCCATATAGGGAAGTTAGGTGACCCATAACGGATTTTCTTGGGATAAGTTATTCAGAGTGGTTTCCCGTTGCCTTCTCTGATATGATGATGATGATGATGATAGGGGTGAAAGGACGAACACAATACAACCATGACCGAGGCGGGACTCGAACCCGCGATCTTTCGGTACGAGATCGCAACGGCACTACTGCCTTAGCTATCTCGGCCACCGGATCGGCTTTAATAGCTTTCGTTGTTGCCTATAATACGATATTACATTTTCGCATACATGCAAACCATCTAGGATGCATCAGTATTATAATTAATTGCATTGTATTAAACTGAATAATTTTGAAACTTTTTGTTCCGAACTCGAATATGTAGTCATATTGCTCATGAAGTGGTCACTTGGAGAAATAATCTTAGGAATAGTAATAATCTCTTTATAAAATAAATATAATAAATATAATAAAGTAATCATCACTTTATAAAATAAGTTCGACCGTTACTTTGTTACTTTGAAGCAGAAACAAAATGATACCATCACAAGAAAACCATTCTTCTGTCAATAACATGGGAGTCTTAATTCCGTTTCTCTCGACGGTTCTTCTAAGTACATCAGTAATGTTATGTCATAAACCAAATATAATGTGTTTTTTTTACATAAATTTAATGTGTCTTCCTCTTGAATAACCTGTTGATGAAAATCGGCAATCTCAAAATCGTGCTATTACCTCAGAGGCCTTAAAATGTAATTCATATAATTAAAAATTGCGTTTCTAAAACGAAACATTTTTCTCACATTTGAATAAAATGGAACATTAATTATAAAATTTGAATAACATGGCTCTGAAATCAGCGGCACGGCTTTGAGACCTGAAAGCGTTCACCACTTAGATACGATGATGCTGCATTAGAGCTCCTAAAAGGCTAAAACTGTCCTAAAGCCTTCCCCCTTAAGTACCGTTTACTTAGCAGTTTACACCGGCTGTGAACAAATACACACAAACAAAGAGCAAATATAGTAATGTGTTTCATTAAAGCCAGACATTCCTTTGTCAGCTTCGATAAATACCTTAATTTCTCCTGTGTTAATAGAAAAGCCATTCATTTCTCAACTATTGGTGTACTTCCTTTCTAAAGTCACTGTGCCTTTCTAATAAGAGCTGATCTCAGATGTACAGACAAAATCATAGTGGCGAAAAAAATAACTTTAACCAACCGTCTATTACTTAATTAAACATATGTATATCATAACTTGACTAGCGTGGTATCACAAGTGAGTACGTGGACGAGAACTCACCTTGTAGCCGCCAGTGGTGAGGCCCGCATTGCGTTTCGCCAGCACGCACTTCATGCGTAGGAAGAAGGCGCGCTCGATCTCGAATTCTGCGACACAAATAAATCATATTATTATGATGACAAATTCGACACCAGGATGTCAAGTTGTTATTTCTAAAAATCATAATTTTCACGTTTCGTGCGTGCTTAATGCTTCTATTCAGGTACTGGAATGAATATCAATATTGTAAACAGATCGAATATTATGGTATATAAACTCACTGATAGAATAACTAAATTATAATAATACATACCCAAACGATGTTCATTAAATGTAAATAACATAAAAAGTAAACAATGAGATACTGACACTATCGATAAGTTGATTTTACATTAACACAAATTGCAAAACATACACCCACTATTGACTAACATGCGACGGCACCATTACTACAATAGCATTATTTTTTATTCACTGGGAAATAACTATTCGACATCAAAACTTCTGACATGCATTTGTAGGGTGCAGTATGAGAGTAAATTTATTAAAAAAGTAAGGGAATATTCTCATTGGTTTAACATTATAATATAATATGTTCCGTATAATAATATGTTAGTTATTCAAAAATAAAAAACTTCTTACTGATGAAATACTCTTACTGGCGGTATTTGAAAAAGTAGAGTCTTAATGCAAAATGTATTTCATTACATGACAAAATGATTTTTAAGGAGATGTTCGTAACTTCAGAAAAATATTGCGACCCCAAAAGTAAAAGTTAACTAGTTTTCTGAACTTTAGAGTGATAAAATTTGGATATTTTTGGAGTAATAAAACTGCAACCGAAAAAAGTCACAGGAAAACAAGAAAAGCGAGAAAAAGTGAAAACGACGAGTGAGGTAAAACTCCAACATTCGTTTTGGAGTGAATTCAGTCAAACTTGATTTTCTCTGTTCATTAAAAGTTCTGATGCAGCGACCAGAGACGATAAAGTTTAAGACAGATGAAACTGTGTCAATCTTTTTCCGATTGCTGCTATAACGCTCGGACGAGGGGGTGAAAAACGAAGCTTAAAAAAAAAAGGAGTTAGAAAGAATAATAAAAGAACAAAACGAACAATGACAAAACTTAGAAAACAAGACGAAAAACTAAAAAAAAGGAAAACACTTTAAAAGATTGGGAAGAATTCTCGATAAAATAGTTACTGTTGTCCAGTCGTATTTTTTCTGTGGAGGGACCAAGGAAATGCACTTGATGAGGTAGTGCGACATATTATGTGGCTGCAAAATGGGTAAATTTGTTTTAAAAAAACGCCCACTAGTTATTTTATCAGAGTGGATGAAGAACGAACCGCAGCATATCGGTCCACGCTCTAGCGTTCCATATCTGTGTACCAGGGTTCGAATCCTCAAACTCCACGTGGAATTTTGTTTTGATAAAGCGGTTCCCCTACGCACAATGATTGGAATTATCACTCTAGCCAGACAGGAGTCAGAATACGTGAAAACATACAAAAATTTATTCTAAATAATGTTTTTAAGCAGCTGACCCAAACAAAAATATTTAATTATAATTTTTGCGGGAAAAATAATATTTTATAGTTTGTAATTATAATTAAATATGTTAAATAACTTTTTACGGGTTTAAACGTTTAGTCTCTATCTTTTGCTACAGATCTGATTATGGAAATTTTAGTATTTTATAATCTTTATATTCTTTTGTACTTTCTTGAACGTCATTGCTATATTGAAGTATATTTTTAGCTTCAGTAAGTAGATCTCTAATCGAAGATTCAGAAGGATATTGCCACAAATCTGTAATACTATATGATAAAATGAGCAACATATTCATCAAATCTCTTTCATCGCATTTGATAGAATGGATTTAGTTCGTGTTAACTGTCTACAATCTTTTTTGCGAGACTCCTGAGGTTCTTGTAATAACATACCTATTAATTTCGACTTCACTCTCTGAAGATGACTGTGACTCAATCTGTTGAAGCTTGTTTGCCTCCGACATACATATTTGAAGAGGCATAGCATAATTCTTCGGAATTTGAATAAGCATGGAGATATTCAGTTCTTTGTTTTTTGACCGAGGATAAAGTTCTGCCAACTCTTCTGAATGCATGCCTGAGTTATGTGGTGTCAATATTCGGTGACGGAATGCTGTTCATTTCTATTTCATCAAAACTGTTCTTACAACTCAGAAATGGACCTCAATAATAACTGTTTATTTCTTCCACTCGATGACCATTAACATTTAATCTTTGAACACACCAAGTCCACTGCGTGTTTTAATTGATCGTAGAACGTCTTCTGTAACATCTGATAGCTGAAGTTTTATCACTACATTTCTTATACTTCATTGTTTCTATTCCAATATAATTTGCCATCCATGCTTTGGAAATATCTTTTCGCTGAATTATACTTCGCAGATACTTCAAAACACGCTTATACAAAGAAAAATAAACACGACGAACGTACAAAGAGTACGTTCACAACAATATATCTCAATGGCACGATGGAGCCAAGTGGAGCTTTTTTATTCTTATACAAAGTCGAAAACGAGCGATCACACCAGAACTGAACTGCCGGTCGTCTGTATAGGCGGCTTTTATCATATCCGCAATATAGAATGGGATAGTCCGCAGTCTGCGAGAATGACTGCAGTCAAGAAGTTGCAATATATTAATCTCAAGTATCATGTATTATAAGCGGCCTTAAAACTTCCATCACACTCTAATGATAACGACTTCATGAACAAATTATTTAACTACGTTTTGTATAAAAAAGGCCGAAAAAATGACTTTGTAATCGGGGAATGTATGAGTAATTTCGTTGAAAACTCCACTACTTTCGCAATTACTTATTAAATTGTGTTTTCGCTCTGCTTTTACGCTACACGGTGTCAACCAAATCGAAAATCCCTGCTGATAAATCGGTTATTTGAAATTTGTCCGGCTAGCATTGTAAACCCGTACACTGTGCGCAGTTTCCATGACATTTCAATATCTCTCATTACAGCATCTTATTCATTCATTCTCATTACTCACCATATCATCTTACAGTAATAATAATAATAATAATAATAATAATTATTATTATTATTATTATTATTATTATTATTATTATTATTATTATTATTATAACAACAACAAAAATAACAATGAATAATACCAGTCTATTTTTCAAAAATTCGTAAAGTCGTTCACAAAAATATACATTACGCGAGTCTTATTGAGTCCTTCATTTGTAAATGTTAGGAGTGCGTAATCGTTTTCCCTAAGCTCCTAGTTTTATGACGCCCGCGTGCTCTCCCGTGGATTGCTAACCCCACCGCTTGCAGGCTAACTCACCGGGCAGGCAGTTGTGGAAGACGGGCTGCGGGTTGGACAGCACCGACGTCATCTCGTCGTGGTCCGCCGGGTGGATGTACTCGTAGATGCTGTTCCCTGTGAGCTCCACCTGCAAGAGCATTCGCCGCTATTACGGGTGTCCCAGCGCGGGGCGCGGCGGGCGGGCGGGCGACCGCGCACGAGGAGGGCCGTCATAGGTCGACCGCGCCTCGCCCATGGCGTCACAGGGCAAAAACCTGGACGCTGACTGGCCGCCCGGCTATTAAAAGGCTTAACCCTTTGGGAAAGGGGACAGGTTTCCGTCTGCGTTGAACCTTGTGATGCTTCGAGCCGAGTTGTTAAAGCTTTCTGGCACAGGGGTATCTGGCACATAAAAGTTGTATGAAGGGAGTGTTGGGAGAGTACGAAGGAAAGTATGTAACTCTCCGGAATTTTGGTTTAAGCCAATACGATTTTTTATTGATTAATTGCAGTTTACAATGTGCACACATTGGATTAAAAAAAGGTAAAGTTCTATCAGGGCTATTCATGGATTAAATGACAATAAACGATGGCGGCTGTGACGGGGGTTAGAGTAGCTATGGTAGGAACTAATAGTCTTCCTCTTACTTAATACCGTTGATAAATAATGCAGTTTTGTTGGAGTATAAATGTAACTCTCGCGAATAATCTGCATCCAGAAGAACGTAGTAATGTGTAGGTCTTGTGAAAATTACAACCTTTCTAAAAATTAATCTAGAAAAATGTAAATATTAAATAGAAATTGAAATTACTGTTTCTATGGAGTCTTCTTTGGGGATAAATCCGATTTAGGTACATCCGCACTTTTTATAAATAATCCAAATTCAAGAGTACCTTTTTTATCATTTATTATTATTATGGATTGAGTAATTATTGCCAATTGACAAAACTATGTGCTATGCCTTTCAAAGAAATTTTAAAGCAATAAATAATTTGAATATTGAAGTAGAGGAAAGAAGCATATTAATGTTTCGGATTACACGTCCAGATGACTAATTGTACAGATTAATAATTCGGTATTGTTGCATCTGACTTATTTTTTGAAAGATATAACCAACCGTAAGTACAAGTCGTGATAATGGATGTAAATCTTACTGTCTAATTCGTTAAACGTTTCATATTTATATGAGAATATACACTGTATTTAAAATACTAAGGATTTTTTACTTAAAATGTCATTTGAGCTCTCTATTCAGCCCAATGCATTCGTGATTTTATTTTACAAATGAAAGATAATGGTCCCTAAATATGTTGCCTTTTCTTCTCATCCGATTTTATAATATAAACATTAAATGTTAATAATATTTTAAAATGAATAGAATATACGTAATCTGGTGTCGTCTGCTCAATAATTCATTTTCTTGAGGGTTACAATCGATCTACCGAAAGCAGACATCGTTTCGTCGTCTGGATGAACGGATGTTTGAGATTTCGTTTAGCAAAGCAAAGAAAGGGCGATATTTTAAGCAAATATCAGTGTGTGTCGTTTCTGTAGTCTTCGTCTCAGTGAGTTACCGACAAATTTTATCGGCTTTTCAATAGTTTGTTTAATTACAGAAATCAAGCTGCATCTTCAACGACTGACTCCTTAGAATTAGGGTCTTGCAGCGGCTGAAAAAAAACTACACAAAATAATGTTGTTTCAAAAATTAGCTCCACACTCTGGTCAAGAAGAAATAAAATACTCTCTTACAATTCTGCGATAAATTTAATATTTAACAACAACAGTCTATACGAATACGCAAATAATATACGATTACATCTGTCGTAAGCAGTGACGCACTGAGAATGAGAATTTAGACGGTGCGCACAGTATGAGAATATGTGGAGTAATACAATTAAATTTTTCCACTTTTTAGTCAATATCAAAACCGTTTCTTGGTTTTGGAATTTTTACTGCGTTCCTGAGTATCTAACAAAACCACAGACACCTTTCAATTGGCTGGAGGCTGCGTACTTTTCTTTAAATTTCTGTGTGCATTGGAAATTAGTAATGTAGATAAATAAACAACAAAAAAATGGACAGATCTTGTAAATATATTGAAGGTCTCTGGGTTTTATTTTGTCAGCCAACATTTGCAAGAATTAAACAAAATTATAATTTTACCAAACTTTCTCTTAGCGTTGGCTCAAAGATTTATGTAAAGAATAAGCGATTTTCTACTTTTCTACATTTATTAAAGAAAAATAAATCATGAATTTCGATTTGTGCATCAAAACATGGTTATGCAATTTACTCAAGAAACTGTTTACCGTTTTCAAGACCGCTGTTAATGATGATTTTTGTTGGTACAGATTGTTTCTATTTAATGTACTAAAAACCCTATCAATTCATGTAATCATACTAAGAGATACAAAATTTCTTGTCAATGTATTGAAGCAATAAGGATGTGAAAACGTTCTAATATTGGAAGGAAAAAAACACAACAATAGCGTGTGTAACTGTGATTCATAATCTATTTGGGGAATCAATATTAATTTTAATTCTGGCCTGTTTGTAAAATTGTTTTTCGGGATATAAGTTAAATTGTCTATCTAACAATATTGAGACCATCAAATTTCTATCTAAAGGTCTTCACTAGATCACTCGTCATAGAACTGATGCAGACGACAGATATATTTACTCAACCGAAACTGTGTGCTGCCGTTAACCACGCGATTTCTCGGAATGAAACAACATATTCTTGGGAAAGAACCGCGCCCTAATGCGGTAATGTGTTTTAAACTTAGCATCGGAAATTGCAAGCAGCAGCGGCGGCGGCGGCGGCGGCGGCGGCGCGGCGGCGCGGCCGCACTGGCGCGCCGTGCTGAGTGGGGTCTCTCGGTTTCAACACGTCAGCTCCGCCGCTCGAGAGGCAGGCGAGAGCTCCTCGGGCTCCCGTTACAGCGACGGCGCCGGCGACGGCGGCGAGGAGGCGGGGACGGGTCAGGGATGGAAAGGGCGGAGCCGGAGGCAGCTGCTGGGGAGGGATGGGAAAGGGAGACGGTGGCAGCACAAGAGGTGGCTGTGGCAATGGGGCAGCGCAACTAGAAGCGGCGAGGAGAAGGCGAGAGACACGGGGATGGTGGAACCGATAGCAGCGGTTGAAGAAAGGATGGTGGAAACCAGTGATGGCGGCTGCCATAGCAAAGGTAGTGGAGGCGACGGAAAAGGAGATGGCGGAACCGATGCCAGCGGTGAAAGAGGGAACGGTGTTGCGGAGACCGGCACACGAGCGTGCAGTGGAGATATCGTTGGCAGATTTGGAAAAGACGTGCTACCGTAGCGACAGAGAACAGACTTGATGAGGCGGTGGATGAAAACGTAGAGATTTCGGCGTAAGAGGTCGAGTAAGGCGATTCCGGAAATGGAAGGTGACAGTGCAGAGGAAGTTACAAGAATAAATAGTAAAATTTTGCGTTTGTGATGGAGGAGGGGGTGATGGAAATGTTTTCTGCGCCAAACACAAGAGACAGAGGTGTGAGGTAGCGAGATAAAATAGGAATGTGCTGAAGGCAGTCGAAGAATTGGGGGAAAGGAAGCCTCTTCGAACGAAGGTAGTATCATTGGCGAGCGACTTCGCGGCGCGGCGGTAGAAGACGACGGCGAAGCAGGAATGGGCGGGGTCAGGTCGGAGCGCACGGAGCGGCAGCGGTAGCGGCGGCAGGGCGAGGGCAGGGTCAAAGATGGCGGCGTGGGGGAGGCGGCGGCATTACACCGGGTGGGGCCAGGCGAAGACCGCTCGAGCACTCTCAGATGCCCGCCCGCTCCTCGCCAGTCCGCCCGACTACCTCCCGCCCAACCACCCACCCACCTGCTTCTCGCCCGCTTCTCGCCCGCTTCTCGCCCGCTTCTCGCCCCAGCTTCTCGCCCCAGCTTCTCGCCCCAGCTTCTCGCCCGCTTCTCGCCCGCTTCTCGCCCGCTTCTCGCCCGCTTCTCGCCCGCTTCTCGCCCGCCCGCCTCTCGCCCGCCCGCGACTCGCCCGTCCGCAAGCCCCTCGCCCGCGTCGCCCGAGGGCCCAGCGCGACGCGGTGCTTCGAAGGAGGGCGGGCGGGCCGCCTCACGGCGCTTCCGCCCGCGGCGTCGGACGAGTTGCGCCGAGGCGAGGGGGAGAAGAGCTGCGAGTAAATGGGACGCGGCGCGCGCGCGGAGCTGCCGCTGTAAACGCTGAACAGAACTCGCACGCCGACCCTCGTAGCTCTCGCAAACTTTTCGCACACGGAAAACGAAAAGCAATACAGGTTCTGAAGATTGTTATCTACATGCACAATTCAAGTACCTAATTTAAATTTCTGTGTAAAAATTCACATTTCATTGATAGAAAGGCAGGGAAAGATATGAAGAGTGTTGCATAAACCGCATGTCTAAAGAATGCAATTTCTGTAATACAATGTGCGAGAAAAGATATCTATATATTATCATAAAACTTCTACGCATTTGCTTGTTTGAAGTTTCATATCGCCGAATTATTATTTGATTACTTTTATACTGTGAAATCGTGCTACCTAGAGAGAAACTAATCTGCAGTAAAAGATAATGGTAGATTGCGAATTCGAAATGATAAGTTCACTATTGGCAATCAAATTAGGCAAATGTTCTATGTATTCAAATATTTGTTGAGAACATTCTCGAAGATATAATCACATTTCTGTGTTCAAATATACTATGTAAATATTAAAGGAGGTTTCTGTACACTTTCATTTACTTCACTTTCTTTTAACATTCACTTTTGATCTGTTTAAAATTCTGTAGAGAATACACATGACACTTAAGCAAGTCTTTCTTCACATTCTAAGAAAACAACGTAATAAAGAATCTGCATTTTACGACTTTTGTTTCTCAACTAAAATTATTTGCCATTGTCTTTCTCAAATTGCTTTAGTTGGCTATGCCAGTTGCTAAGCTCGGGTGATGTGAGCGGGGGGGGGGTGAGGGGCGCGAGGCTGGTGATAGCCGCATGCACTCCCACCTGCGACAGCCCCAGGTGCACAGACGCCGTCTCCGAGATGTACATGATCTTGCCGTCGGGAGCCACCACGAAGATGAAGCCATCCAGCGTCTGAAAAGAAAGACGTGAACTAGAAAAAAAATTCAACCATCCGTTCACCTATCTCAATTTGAATTTTTTTTGCATATTATTACTATTAAAATTATATTAACCGCTTTCTTAACATAAATTTACTCTCACTCTTCAGAACCTTAAATATACTGAATACATTCATAATTTAAGCGCATTTAAATTGAATGAAGTGGATGTTGAGCATGACAATTCCTCCTCCCACAAGGGCAGTGAGGGAGAGGTAAATAATCTTACAAAGAGCGCAACCATACAGTGGAGCTTCAGAGATAGCTTCATTGATTGTTTATTTCGTCTTTCCGGGTGCGACAGCTACTATTGTTATTAGTCCCGTAAGCGTATTGCATGTTTTATCACGGACAGTGGCTGTGATCTTCGCTCACTGGAATGCGAAATCCAACGGGTGATTTCTCCATTCAGGTATCTCCCACCAAGGGGCGCTGCCCCAGCCAGGACATGCTCTAAGCTCCCGATATGTGTGGTAGTGTAAATGCCACCCATGTGTGTGTTTATGGACAGAGGAAGGGATCAAGATGAAGGAAAGACAGCGCGCGGTTCGTGGCCCGTTTTTTACGGTAGTGCTCTACCATTCGCGTGATATTTATGGGAGAAATCCCGGGAAACTATGGATCACAGCAGCCAGTCGCTGGGATTCTTCTCCACATGGAGGCTGAATTCGATCTAGCTAGTGCCAAAATCCTGTCACCGTCGGGCTCGAATCCTATAGCCCTGCAGATAAATCACTTGATGCCCTGAGGTCCTCAGTCGGTTTCACGTAAGGATGCGACATTGCCAACAAAACATAGATGTTTCTAAACATCGATAATCAAAATTAAAACATTTATGTTAATAAAATCCCAAACTATCGGAGTTGTTAAATATAGTTGTTTTTAAAACTGGATTAGTAACTATTGAAATTCACGCAACTGGGATTTAAATTGAAAGAAATCTCATTTATCAATATTTCTAATTATGATCTAACTGGCTCATTTTTTAATTGTCATTACGACACTAAACAATACTGATATTATCTGATTTGATAATTCAAAAATAATGTATTATTTTGTATTCCCTAATCACTTTCGTCTGAAGAATATACAATTTATGGATGTCGGAATATTATTACAATTTTGTTCTGATGACTTATTTTCATTTTAAAACTAAGTAAAACTGTAAAAGCAACGAACAAAAAAGATGGACGGTAATAAAACATTGGGGTCACGAAATCGATATGAAATAGGTCGATGATTTCATAAAAACATCGACATCCATGCCGCACCCCTAGTTCCACGGACGCCGCCGAGTGCGCGCGGGCGCGAGCGCGGGCGCTGAGCGACGCGGAAGAGCTGCGGCTTCCGGGATGCTGAGTTGCGCGCGGTTCGCGGCGCGGCGCGGTGTGAGATTTCGCGGGGAGCTACGCGCTTCGTAGTCCCCGACGGCGCAGGCGGCGCAGGAGGCTGAGAGTCGCGGCGCGTTGGTAATTACGCGCCGGGTTCTGCTTAGCGCCGCTCCGCGTCCGGTAGCAAGGCCAGCACCGCGCCACTCCAAGCCGGCAAGTGACAACGCTACGCGACGCAGCGGCGCGGCGCGGCGCGGCAGGACGCGTGCGGGGAGATTTAGCTCTGGCCGCGCGTGCAGCAAGTGTGATATGAAGTCGGGCTCATAGTTTTTGGAAAGGTTGAAAGGTTTGATTTATCAAGTTCTTTGCGTTATTAAAGGAGAAAGTATCTAGATTTTAATAAATACTAATTTATAAACTCTCCGTAGTAAAAAATGTTTAATTGTTTTAAAACCTGAACCAATTAATATATAAGTAGTATTTTTGAACACTTAATGTCAGTATTTTTGATTTAATTATTCATTTTCTTTGAAACAAAAACACTTCAAATTAGAATAATTTGGGCTATGGGGATGCTGTCTGTATCTTATTAGAGTAAATAATCCGTGTGCTACGACAGAAGTATTTGTGCAGGGACATCGAAAATCCGATTTACTTTATAAAGAGGTTGGCTGAGAGTTTGATTCCTTTATTATTATTATTATTATTATTATTATTATTATTATTATTATTATTATTATTATTATTATTCAGGGAAGATCTCGTTTAGGGCATTGCCTCCTGCCTTTTGCAGAATATGCTGAATGAAGGAATAGGGTGATATAACTAGGATGATGGTGGGAGGTGGCAGTGTGTTATGGGAGGTGATCGTGGCATTTACTAACCATCCTAGCATTCGCTGCTTGAGGAAAACCATGAAAATCCCGATCAGGAAGTGAAGTGGCCATTGCGGGGATCCAATCTGAACCTCCCGATTGTCGTCAGCACGCTACGCACTGAGCCACTTCGCTTGCCTTCAGCAATTTTTGATCGCTTTCTGACTGCACATTTTGCTCATCAGAGCTGAAAATGTACAACAAAAAGACGAACTATGAACAAATAAGAGATTAACACGAGATGATACATGTGTATATGTCCTATTTGTATAAAATGTATATATTTTGATGTTTCAGCTTTGATGATGCGCGGCTCAAAACACAATTAAAAGATATCTACATAACGCCGGTGTCTCGTTAATTCGATTACCTTTTTAAGGCACGTAATGACTTCGAATTTGTCTTCTGTGGAAAATAGCAACTTCTGATTATCATACTCATGAGGGTAAATAACGTTCCTTAGTAAAATAACACATTTTATCGAGCACTAATGAATAACAAGTGAAATGATTGAAAAATCTGTAAAATTGTAATTGTAAATGCAATTACAATACATTGTAATCATAATTGTAAAATTAAAGTAAGTTTACATGGGTTTTTCCCCTTTTTTGTTGCAATACGTATTTATGAAAAAAAGATAAAGAAAGAAAATAAAACATCCTAATTCACGAAAATCTGCGAATTTATTCTACAGTGATGCTCTACCAAAAAAGAAAAAGTAGGCAATCAACTGGATTATCTTTTTCGACTTGTTTTTTAATATATTATATAGATTTTTTTTAATTTCAAAGAAATAACTGTACCTTATAAAACTCATTTGCGAGAGATTTTTAACTTATACACAGATTTTTGCGAATCGATTCAAAATATTATTGATCAGATCATGACTTTTAATACATACTTTCATAAATGGTGTTTATGAATGAGACCCAACGAACTCTCAGAGAACGTGAAAAGAAGAGATATCTTAATTGTGTATGAGAACAAAAGGAAATCAATTCCGGAGCGGTAGTTTTATGTTTTTACATAACTTGTATAAATGATAATTTGAAAATTCAGAGCGAGATATATTTTAATGCTTTGGAACGGAAAACACATTCGAAAGAAGAAAATTGTTATGACTACATTAAGGGCAATTTTCATGAATTGTGATCGTTCATATAAGAATGTCGCATTTTGATAGTCATGTAAGCACATGATTTCACTGAATTTCCTAGTTACTGTGTTTTAATGTTTCATGAAGAATACTCAATGTCCACAAATATTTACTGCTTCTCATTTGAAAAACCCTTCTTTCCATTTATGAGTTGTGTTACAATCTCCGCGTCGACGTGCCTCTGAATTCATAAACTTCATTGCGGAAGGCAATTTATGCCTGCGAGGGTATTTTGGAAGTAGAGAAAGGTTCATTATGCAACTGCCAGCTGTTTGATTTGACTTAGATAAGGCTTCGCACGTTCCGTGTTGGTCTTCGTTGTTCGTTATGAATAATATTCATGAATATGGGTGGATTTTCTGGTAGTGGTTTTGTATTGTGTTGAGTTTTTATATTCTTTTCAGCGTACGTTAGAGAGACTGCCGGAGAATGTGATTGGTAAACGCCTCTTCTAACCGTCGTCCGTGATTTTCGGTATGACATACAGATATGCATTTATTTTTATTATACGCAGGGTTTGATTTCTGGCGGAAACGGCATTCCGGTACCTCGGGAACAACATAGAAGAAGAAAAAAAGGCAGAGGACTAACACTTGGCAAATTTTACTTTCTTAGTTCAATCAACATTCCTAAACTCAAAATTAAGTTTTCACTTAACTGTATCAATTCTAGGACTGTAATAAAATGATTAGTAAATAACGACAAACTATCATTATAAACACTATTTTTAATTCCTATTGTTACTACTACTATTATTACTATTACTATTTTTATTATTTTATTACTATTATTATTAAATTACATTACAATATATACCTATCTCTATTAAATTAAAAATTAATTTGGGGTGCGCTCCAGAACTTCATAAACCTATAAATCAAGCACTTAATATACGTATACTATATGTAATATAGTATGTATTACGCGGTGGAAACTTTTAAAGTTGGACATTGGTCCCTGGGGAAGATGTTCAATTTAGAGAAATGTTGTGTACTAAAGGGCGTTTAGCCTAAAACAAGATGGAGGGGGAAACTACATTTCTGCTCCCTGGCCTGTTCCTCCTTTTTCATTAAAGATTTTTATTTACATTGTCGTTTTCCAGTATAAATCTTACCAGGATACTAAAATTAAGATTTTAAATATTCAATTGATACGATCGTACAATCGTTTTTGTTGATTTACCGGGTTCCCAAATGGTTGAAGAGCTTCTCCTCCAAATGTCGTGTGTACCAATGTCGGTTTAAAAAGAGGAAATTCAGGAAATAACCACATTTACAAAAATATTTTTTAGAGTGGAGCTACGGCGGTCTTTTCGAAATTTTGAGGGGGCCATAGTACCTTATACCTCCCCCATCCGCGGTGAGCAGACCTATGGGGATCAGCAATGTGCGTAGTAGAACTTGTGAGACAGCTTGTACATTAACGTAGTCATTGCCAAAACATATTTAGAATAGAATTTATGTCGTTTCTTTTCTAGAAGGTAGGTACATTCACACTTGCTGTATCACCCTATTAATATGGTGATTCAATTTAGTTAAATTAGTTTTCAAAAGTTCAATTAATACTTATGGCAAATATTCATAAATAATCTTAAAGAAATCCACAAAAAACAAGTTATCAATATATTTATGTTGAACCCTACATGGCTTCAGATTATCTGTCAGGCATATTCGTAAGCAACGACGTTCTAGATATTTCTCCCCTAGTTGTCTCACAGAGTTATTCCGCGACATGAAGACGTCGAGGCTTAGGAAGCAGCTCGCTTAGTGCACATACCTGCAACAGGTGCGAGCCCAGCTCCTTGATGCAGGACTCCCGGGGGTTGGCCGGCGGCGGGGCGGCGCCCCACGCGTCTCCCAGACCTGCAACAGCCACGCGCACACAATGGCCATCAGCTGCGGATGCTCGCTAAAATTCGCCAGACCCCCTTTGTTATTTCTAGCAAAAGGAGTTGAGCGTTTTAATTATTTAAGGAATTACTGTATCATGGCTACAGGTAATCTGAAGAAATATTAATGAGTAGTACTAGACATACATTCTTCAAGAGGAATTATTATTTTCAAACTGAACATTTCTTTGCTAGCGTAAATATCTGATCACACATTATTTCGCCAATCCGCTCCCCAACACCCGCTTTGTCATCTGCTCGACATGTCTGCTGTCGTCCGCTTGGCTTTTCCTCCAACGTGACAAAACTCCAACGCACGTCACAAACACTTTTCAAAAATCGATAATAAATTTCGCTATCTCCCCCTGCGCCCTTCGGGGAGGCGGCAGCGCCTCAAAATTAATGTGGGTCGCGGCGGGCAGGGGGGCGCGCGGGCGCCCTTGAGGCGTCAGGTGGGGCGCCGCGTGGCGTATCGCGGGCGATCGCTGGCCGCCGCCGCTCATTGTGAGGCGATGGCCCGTCAGCGGCGCTGGGACGCTGCCGCCTACTATGCGGGCGGGTGGGCCCTTGTGCTCTCGACGGCGCCCTCCGACCCCACCACGCCTCGCCACGCCTCGCCACGCCTCGCCACGCCTCGCCACGCCTCGCCACGTCTCACCATGCGCCCAACCCTCTTAACGATGGCAAATTTTAGCAAAATTTCGATATCGATGTTATGGTTTTCGATGTCGATAAAATCATCGACAAAGCCATCGATGTGTAAAATATTGATGTTTTATATACGATAGAGCATTTCGAAGAATAGCGTCCTGCTTATAACATGTCAATATAGGTCTTAAATAAATTCTGCCATACATTTGACTGTTATCTTCATTTTCTACTCAATGTTCTAAGTAGTCAAGGTCCAAATTGTAGTCTAACGTTATTACCACGTACAAAATAATAAAAAGAGATAACAATACTGGAGAAAGGTTGCGAATGGCAAAAGGTTTCGTGCCGCCAGGGGATCGACAACACGAACAGTTGTCAATGGCTGTTGACTGCGGGCAATTCACAAATAAAATAGATACTGGAAATTTTATTTATATCATCAGAATTTTTAAAAACATCATGTTTCTGGAAAGTATATCGATCTGAAGAAAACGTCGAAAGCAATATATCTATGTTATAACATCGACATTTCTGCTCGAAAATATCGATGTTTTAAAATACCATTTTAAAACATGTCATTCCTAAGCCCACTCACCCGCCCCGACCTGCACTCGCCTACCTCTCCTTCTTCGCCTCGACCAACTTCCACCCACCCCGTCACCCGCTGAGTTTAGCTCATCAAACAGCATAGCCGCGGTCTTTGCAGCGATTCTGATCGAAAGGACCTAGGGTTCGAGGTTGCGGATATTTGACACTAGCAAATAGCTAGGTCGAAAAGTCCCTGACTCGAGAAGCATTCTAGCGATCAGCTGTTCTGATCGATAGTTTGATGTGGTTCCTTGGATCAATACCAAGCGAATGCCAGAGCACTATTCTGCCAAATGGACACGAACCTCCTTTTCTCACATTGTCCTCTCCTCTTACTGGTACATGCATATTTACTTTCTCTACGCGTTGTGCTGCTATGGGAGATATTTAGAGAGAGAATGTCCCTACCCCTAAAAGAATAGGTTGGCGCCGGCGATGGGGGAACACCGCCACTTACAGGCATAAAAAATATCCACCATCGTATTGGGACTAACGATCGCAGCAGTTGACGTGTCCGGAAACAGCAATGAATCTATCAATCCTCACCCGATTCGCCCCACCCCACGGTCCGCTGCGTCCTACTCCACGGCAACCCAACTCATCCGAAGGGACCATTCCACCTCACCCACAACGCCTCGCCCTCTATGGACTTGCACCGATTCACCTCACCCAATGCGCCCTAGTCAGCTCCTCTCCGCCCCCGGCCAACTACCCCACGTCCACCTAACCATTCACGCCTCACCCGCTCACCCAAACCAAACTCAATCAACTAACCGCTTGTCAGTTTACTCCATTTTACACCCACCCCACCCCACCTCACCGCGACCCGCCCTCCACCCCGCCTCTTG